CTGGTGTTATGCTTGTAATGCTGAAAGTGGTGACCCTTCACAGGTTTTGCCATCTTTCTGGTAAACCACCATACCATACCATACCCTTATCCCAGGATCAATAGTTACTACAAGTTTCCCCGTGTATTTCCCTAGTTGTTCCCTATTGTATCTCGCAAAGACAGTTGGAACCACTTTTTTGGGGCTGCAAAAGTGTTGCAATTCAATTTGTGTGTTTTTGCAGGTTTCATACATGTAGCATGACCGTCGAAAGGGTAGCAAGTGGATGAACAAAAAAGTGAGAATAATCTGGAAGGGTCATCATTTTTGGATTTCGATAGTCGTTTTTTGGGAAAATGTCATCAAAAAACAGTGAAATCTAGAATTTTGGTGGGAAATCAAATTATGTGTCTTCTTCAAGGTTTCAAACATTTAGCATGACAGTCGAAACAGAGTCATTCTAAGTGTCTAAGTTTATCGTTTTGGAAACCTGGGAGGCATATGGGACAATAATAGGGTAAAATAAGGAAATTATATATAGGGAAATAATAGGGCAACAATAGGGAACTAAGAGGGAAATAATAGGTAAATAATAGAAACAATAGGGAACAATAGGGGAAAAATAGGGAAATAATAGGGAACAACTAGGGAAATAATAGGAAAATCATAGGGAAATAATCTGGTTATATGCTTGTAACGCTGAAAGTGGTGACCCTTCACAGGTTTTGCCATCTTTCTGGTAAACCACCATACCATACCATACCATACTATACCCTTATCCCAGGATCAGTAGTGCCTATAAGTTTCCCCGTGTACTTCCCTAGTTGTTCCCTATTATATCTTGCAAAGACAGTTGGAACCACTTTTTTGGGGCTGCAAAAGTGTTGCAAGTCAATTTGTGTGTGTTTTTGCAGGTTTCATACACTTAGCATGACCGTCGAAAGGGTAGTAAGTGGACGAACAAAAAAGTGAGAATAATCTGGAAGGGTCATCATTTCTGGGTTTCGATAGTCGTTTTTTGGGAAAATGTCATCAAAAAGCAGTGAAATCTAGAATTTTGGTGGGAAATCAAATTATGTGTATTTTTGCAGGTTTCAAACACTTAGCATGCCCACGAAACCGAGTCATTCTAAGTGTCTATGACAAAAGTTTTGGAAACCTGGGGGTCATTCTAAGTTACAGATATGCCATATAACAACCTCCAGAAGTTAGGTTATATCCCCTTTTTCACTATGTTTATGTTTATGTGTCCAATTGTAAATGAGCATTGTTCCACAAGTTCCCCTGCGGTAATCAAGAAGGGCGTGTTGGAAAATGACCCATGAAGTTCAATGAGTTTCCAATGTTCAAAGCATTTAGTTCAGGGATTTCCCAGCAAGCAAACCGAAGGGTAGACTAACAGTACATGGGTTTGTCAGTTTTAAGATAGGGCTTGAGCCAAGAATGGGGAGTCAACCAACAAATCTAAACACATGTGGATGCGGCGGAAAATGCGGTAAAGCATCGTATAGCCATTAAAAAACAAATATAGAACTGTCTTAAATAGCGGTATCGTTATATATCATTATCATCAAGTAGCGGTATGATGAAATTTCAGCTATAACATGGTATAGCCATCATTATAATAAGCCATCTGATTGGTGGTTTGGAACATTTTTCCATTCAGTTGGGAATGTCATCATCCCAACTGACGAAGTCATATTTTTCAGAGGGGTAGGTTGAAACCACCAACCAGATATATTATTCATTAGATCAGGTATTAATCACTATTAACCACTATAAATCACTATTAACCACTATTAACCACTATTAATCACTATGAATCACTATTAATCACTATTATAAGCACATTATAGAATCGTCTTTCAAATAAGAACAATGATGGTCATCCATTGATCCATTGACTTCGGCTACCCTCTTTGGGATCGGCCACTTCCGCAATTGAAATTGGGTGCATCCCAGTAAGGTAGTCACCGTATCATGACCCAGTTATATATGGAATATGCCAACTTACACGTGTATGTATATATATATATATATGCATGCATGTAATATAACGCAATCTAATGTAATGCAATCCAATGTAATGTAATGCAATCTAATGTAATGTAATGCAATCTAATGCAATGTAATGCAATCTAATGTGTGCATGTGTGTGTATATATACATACACATTCATAGATGTCTATGTATATTATATGGTCTATAAACCATTCATTAAATATCATTGAATGGGATGCACATCCAAGAAGTTTGACGCATTTCACTTCCACTGCCTGAGGTGACTGTGAGTTTCAAGGCTGGTATGTTGAAGTGGCAGATACCAGCACACCCGAAAGCTGGGTCGTCCGGGCCATGGTGGTTCGTTCTTTTTTTGGTCCGTTGAACATCATTGGGCTAAGCTGAAAGGAAGTGGTTTCGATGCGTTGTATTTCTCGAAATAATGTCTCACAAAATTTAAATATGATAATCTGAGTATGATCATTTGTACTTATATGTATATCCAAGAAGATACATTTGTAAAAGTCTTAGCAAATAACAATGTTGGATGGCACATCCTTCAACACATTTCACCAAATATAGATATGTACAGTAGGTGCCGTTGCTGTGTCCCTACTTTTTTTTGGCCATTGCTATGAGTTATAACCAGTTACAAGTAAATTATACATTCCATAAATTTGAAACAAATACAATACTGACAGTCTTCAACAGCAGCGCATGACGCCCTGACACGACGCTGCGGGCTTGTGATTGTTGTATCTTGCGTTCTGATTTGCATATCACAGGTGGGATTAGCCATTTGTCATTTTGCATTTACCATGTACCTTCCGCTAGTCAAGCATCGCTGGAAAGTCCACCCTTAGCTCTATGACGTTCTCAGCTATAAACCTCTACTGTTGATAGGCAGCTGGCCATGGTATTCCCCATTCAATCTCCATTAAGTCCCATCAAACCACCATTTCCAACGGTTAAGATAGAATTGTTTTAATTTATCCAGATAATAAATCCACAGTACATCTCCATAGAACCACATTTGTCGGTGCTTCAATCACCATAGTTGTTGGTTAATGTGGTAAATTCAATAAGAAACCATCCCCTCAATCACCATAAATGGGTGTTACAAACCATCCCTAAATTGTAGATTTGTTATTGGCTTTCCCACATACATTATATCATTATATCCCATGTATCCCGATATATCCCCATATTTTCCCTAAACCTCATGTTGGTCATTTGAAGCACAATCTTGATTGTTGGTTTTATCAGTTATGTCCCATTCCGGTGGTTAAAACATCATGCAAGGTGGTGCCCCCTAGTTATAAGTTGGTTTATAATCCCCATTAACTATAGTTACATCCCCCTAATCAACCCTAGATATTGGACTTATCTGCACCAACTTAGCTAACGAACTGGGGCACCACCTTGTGATTGGCTCGATCCCAGGTACAGCAAGAGTGCTTGGTATTGCCTCGTAGCTTTGAAGGCGCTGGTGACACGACTCCGACACTCCTGGGTCTTCAAACAAAATGATGAGTGATTTAACATGACTTAACCACAAGAATAGTGAACATATGTGAACATATCGATTTTATGATTTAATTGGATATTAACGGTGATAGAATGGGGATAGAATGGGGATATATACAATTATGTATATATATATATATATAATGGGATGTATCACCAAGATGTTCTCGTTGGACTTGAATCTGGAGATTTCACTCAGTCAAAAATGACAAATGTCTTGCATGGATCTCAAAAATGGGACATGGGAATTTCGTGGAATATACAAGCAACAATCTATGATTTGGGTCTGAAAACAGCGGAGGCCCCCAGTTTAGGCCATTTTGATAGGAACACATTATACGGATAATGAATCAATTCTTAGGGTAGCCTATGTTTAATTGATTTGATGTCAAGCTAGCAATTGCAACATCTATTATGAATATATGCGGGGTTCCATAAATGGGGGTACCCCAAATGGATGGTTTAGAGTGGAAAATCCTACTAGAATGGGATGACAAGTGAGGGTACCCCCATTTTTGGAAACCCCCATATGTATATATATATATATATGTATATGAATATCATGCCGTGATTTTACCGTGTTGGAACGCATCTACTTTAGAACGTCGGCTTCAATTTTCATTGCCTTTTTAGGCTGTGACATCTACAGCGGCTTGGAGTATGGCAAGGTCCGGTGGGACGAAACTGACGAAGCCCAAGAGCTTTCTTGGTTGTGATTGAATTGATGGATGGTGTGATCAATAATAGTGACACTATTGATGGATGGTATGAATTGATGGATGGTATAATTTCTTGGTTATAACCAATAGTGTCTTTTTGATAGTGATTGAAGATGGATAGCAGCTATTGTAGCAGAGCTATTGAACTATCATACCATCACTACAACCAATAGTGTTCAATGGATGCTAAGAACAGTTCATGGTGTTTGAATTGTAGCAGCTTGATCCGCATAATCCCAAGCGATTCTAAGTTATACTCTGGAGATGGTTGGCTAAAGCGCACTTGGTGAAACGAACTGTCTTGGGTCATTTTGTTTGGGATGGTTGGCTACCACAGTTATGGCCAGTTATAAATATACTATATCACAATTTATAGAATGTATTAAGGGGCTCCGCCCCCTGCCGCCGACCCCTGGGCTGAGCCTGCGATCAGCTTCTCCATGGCCCTGAAGCACACACACACACACGCATATATAAAGATATATATATATATATCTATACATATATATATATATGTATGGTTATACACTGCAAAGTTAGGTGTGCGTTGATTATGTATACATGGGTGCAATTCTGCTAAGGGGCTGACATGACAAAGCCAGAGTAGAAACATAATTATATCAGTGGTTCAATCTTGCTTGGTTGCCGAATCAAGGCTGTCTGGTGCCATGCTTTTGCAGCTTTTGGATCGATAGTGTGAGAAGTAGCAGCACAGGCACACTGGGACAAATTTCACCCGCAATAGCGAGGGTTGTTTGCGCTTTTTGTCCGGCCATGGATCACATTGAATTCAAAGTCCCTGCTGGGTGCTACACAGAAGCTTCTGTGAAGGACGCAGCCAGCATTTGTTCCACCAGCTGTTGCGAGCAGAAGTCTAGGCAACCAACTACTTGTAGCTGCAACTAGCTGATTGGTTCTGTTGCGGTGCCGAGAGTCGTGACATTGCAGGAACTGAGAGCCTTCCTCAGCTGCACGCATCGGAAGATCGGCGAAGGATCTCTTCTGTGGCGCGTGAGGCTCAGAACTTGACATTTTGGACCACTTTTGCGAGGTTTGGTAGATTTCGCCTGTTGGTCCTGGAAATGGTAAAGTCACAGATGATCACAGATGATTTCGCCGTTTCGCGACGATTTACGTCTTTGTCTGTAAGACATTTTAAGAAGCCTTTGTAGTGGGAGGCTTCAGTTGGCCGACATGAAAGAGGCGCCATGGGGAATATCTTGATTTTCATTATCTGAGCACATGAGTTGTTTTTTTTTTGCGGAAAACCGTTGATTAATATAACTATATCATAAAATATCATAAAATATCATATATACATACATATTTATATATATATATATACATGTATAGATATATATATATATATATACATATACATATATGTAGCTAAGGCTGGCCATGATACTGGGATTGAACTGGTAATCGAAAAACGCCCTGAAGTTGACACAACAGTGGCCATTTTAGAAAAATGGCTAGTTTTGCAAAAAAATACTTTGCGTTGCCAACATATTAGTTCCACCAATCTTGCAGCAGTTCTGCTCACATTGCAGGAATTTCAACGAAAGATGAGCGACTTTGACCGAAAGAAAGCCATGGATATGCGAACGCGCAGCAAGGTCTGGCTGATTTCACAAGTTGTTTGGGGATTTCTCAAGTACGATTTCACCTCGTGGATTCCCATTGTTGTAGGAATGTCGGTGTAGGAATTGAAGGGAAACCTTCAAAAAAATACACCCCTTTATCTTGGAAAACACATAATACTGCTAAACAAATCATGTTCATAAACACGATTATATAAATGCATGTTTCAACCAATTCAATCCAATTCATACATTAATGTGAAAGTTGGCATGTTCAGAAATGCAATCTAATACGAATTAATCTAATGTGGGTAAAAGAATCATAAACCATCTCCCAAATCACCATATTTATAGGTGGTATGTTTACCATTCCCAGGCATGGATGGTTTATGGCATTGCTTTCATTGTTTTACCATGTTTTACCCTTTGGTTATTTAACATGCCATGGAAAATCACAATTTTTAATAGGTAAACCATCTATAAATGGGCCATTTTCCATGGCTATGGTAAATAACCAGAGGGTACCATGTTTTACCCCACATTATCGGTGTTGATTTTCGCAGAACGTCAGGACTTTGAGAAGAAGGTGGAGATTGAGGCAGCGAAGCTTCGAGCGAGAACCAAGGAGCTTCGATAGTCGCCGTGTCGCACCATAAAGTTGGGCCGGAAAAAACAAGCGCAAAAAATAAACTGTTGGACCCAAATCAGAATAGATCTTATATATATATATACATATATACATATATATATAACACATTTTGGACCCAACATGAATAGATCTAATCTATATATATATATATACACATATTGCACTATGATCACCAGCTGCCATGAGGACCAGTTGGATTCCACGACCAAGCGGACCATCATGGAAAATGAACAAATGGCTTGGGGCTTGGCACTGGGGAAACCTGCGGACTGACAGGGGCTATGAACGAGTTTCTAGAACTTGGAAATTGATCTCTTGAAAGGATTGAACGTAGCTTTGTTGACCATAGTCAAGAGAGATAATCAAGCACAAACCCAAACACAGCAGAAAAATACTGTGCTCAGCGGAGGACTATTCTTACTTAAGCTGGTCAAGGGCATTACTCAACGTCTGCCAAGCGTTTTATGACCACCATGACGACTAATATTTCAGAAATGTAATATATACAGATTAAATGATATATAATACAATATATATATACACATACTATCTATGATAGATGTGGTAATCCCAATGCTAGCACCCCCTTTATATAACAATAAGAAATCATGATGACCTGCATATATATATATACACATATATATATGTGCTAATATATGTATGGTTTCTAAATATAAACCACCAGATAAGAACATGATCCCCATTATCATCCCCATTATATGATACTCCCATTTTAATGACTATGTATTTATCAGACAGTCATATATACTCATTATTGTTTTACTATGTATAATTCCATTATCCCATGATATATAGAGACTATACACCAGAAAATAAACATGTGTTTAATGTTATATCATGGCACTATCCCAGAGGCCGAGTATCATATTATCGGTGGTATATAATCCCATGATTCCACCATTACTATTATCACGATGGTTCGCCAGGTACTACCACCATCATCATCGTGCTTATAGTTTATGACGATCGGTTAGGGGATATCAACCATGATACTAAAAGATACCGTCTAGGGAAATGCTTCGCGATCGAAGATTTTACGAAATGAGCGCAGAAAATGAAGGCTGTCGAGGGCGCGAATAAGCAGCCTTATTCGCACCCTTTGCGTTCACACAGGGTAGAACCTTTTATGCTGAGCTGTCAGTGTTTATTTCATGGGGTGTGAAGGTTTAAGATCTATCAATGTCAGAAGGTTCCCAGTTCTGCAAAATGGCGTGCTCCATGATAACTTTGTAACAAATTTCCAGAAAGTAGACGAATATGTTTCATTCCCAGTACATCTCCATGTTTCGTTATAGCTGTACCTCAATCCCTATGAATTTCCATGAGCACTCACCATGTTTACCCATGCCATGTTTACACGATATCTTATATATACCTTTGATACACTCTATCCCATTATATACTATTTATTATAAACTATATACCATATACCAACCATATATTTACTATCCCATTACCCTATTATCGTTGATATCCCATTGCTATACCATTGCGACAATGTTGTAATAATGGTATAAAAATGGGATTTTACTGGTGGTATTAGCAATTTACTCCCATCATCATGATTATGGTTGACGATCATCGGTTTGGTGATATCAACTATGATAATTCTCATGGTTTTCCCCTGGTTTTCCCATGGTTTCGCATGGGTTTCCTATGGTTTTCCTACGACGGAGGTAAATGCACCACTCACTCTCGTTTTCTTTATATCTCTTTCTCTCTCTCTCTTTCTCTTGCTTTCTCTCTCTCTTTCTCTCTTTCTCTCTCACTCTCTCTCTCTCTCTCTGTCTGTTTAGCGCCGTTGCGCAGGTGGGCCGACAGCTGGAGGTTGTGGCAGCAGGGGCATCTCAGCATTGCCGGGAGCGTTGGATTGCTGGAAGTTTTCATCGGCTGGGTTGGGAGCCCTGGGGGTGCTTACATCGTTGGTAGAAAGGGTCACCCCCGGGGTAACAAAAAAAAAATATATTATAGGTATTGGTTAATAATGGTTACACCATACCCATGTGGAAAAAAAACCACCAAGGTGCTTGAGAAGTTTGGGGCTTATGGCATTCGGCTGGTGAAGAAATACACCAGGACAGCTGCAGAAGTGGGGGTGGCGTTGTTAAAAAAACTTTATATACGGGGGACCATCATGCTTAAGAATCCTACCAACTGATTGGATTATATAATTTCCATCCATGGATCAATCATCAGTATCCCGAGTAAAAGACATGAAGATAGCATTTTTGGAGCCCTTTTTCTATTCAGTATTACTTATTATATTCAGATGATACACCCATCCTAAGTATATGTTTTTTTAATTCATATAATGTGATATAATATGAATAATTTTTTTTTTGGCTTTGATTGATATGATAACAAGTTTATTCGTTTGGTTGACTGGTTTCAGTTTCGAGATTCCGAGCTGGCAGGTGTTGGTGCACTGCACCCGGGCCGCTCCTGCAGTGTGGCCGTGGTGGCGGCATTTCTGATGCAAAAGGAGAAGATCTCCCTGGGAAAGGCGAAATCGCTGGGTTTCGGAGCTGATTTCATGGGATTGTACCAGGAATCATGGGATTTAACCGTTTAACCAGAAAATAACATGGATTTTATATGATTTTAACATATTTGACCAGTAAACAACTTGGATTCCTGGGTAAACTGACAGGTGAATGGCAGGTGTGCTGGAACTGGAAGAATTCATGAAAATCAACTGTTGGCGGGAATCTGCATTTGACACTCTTGAAAGAAAAACGACGATTAGCCGAGCCCACCATCAGTCTTCTGAGGCCCTTCTGTCCATCAAGGTGACTTGACTGGCATCTCAAGGCCGTCCTTGGTTCTAGTTGGCCGGTTGGCCACAAAAACAACCATGTATTTCATCATAAATCATATATTTTACCATATTCATATACTTATACCATTTTGATACACCATATAGCATATATGGTATCATATAGCCAATTTCTTATGTAGTCACAGAACCACATGTATTTCACCATCTTAAAAGATAGTACAATATGTTTTACCATACTATCAACCACATACATATAGGAATCCATATTATGGTTCAACACATTCTTACATGTATATCAAATGCAATATATCATAACATTGCAACCAGTGTATATACAATGCAATAAGTTCTGCCCACATTACATGTTATCATTGCATATGCAATCATACCTATGTGATCCTATATGTATGCACACACACACATATATATATATATACACATATGTATATATATATATATGTAATCATATAACCATATTAACTATATCCGTTTAACCATATTATTAACTATATTATCAACCATATCATCAAACATATTATTAACCACATGATTAACCATATTATTAACCATATTGTTAACCACATTTTTAACCATTGTATTCATCCATATGTACACACACACATATATATATATATGTGTTTGTATGTATTTGGATCAATTATACCGACTTCACTGCGACCTCAGTGGAATCATGGTTAAGGGAAATCATGCCCAAATGGCTTTACCCAGATGTATGTCAATCCATATGAAATCCATATCAAATCCATATCAAATCATCCCAAAAGTTGTGTTTATGTCTTATGGAATGTATGTGTTTATCCACACCAAATTCTTTTATGATACTTTTTACATCCACATCCCAAAATCCATATCAAAATAGTAGTTATCCTCCCTGAGATCCACATTTCATCTTCCCTCAGGAGAAGCGTCCTGAGATCGACTGTAGGACCAACTTTTTGGACCAGCTTCGGTCTCTGGAGGAGGGGTCGCTGGGGCGGCCGGCCATCCGCGCACGAAAAAACCACAATTTGGGGTGGGGCGGGGACACCCTTAAATTGACGCCAGATTGGAACTGGATCCTGGAATTTGGATGGTTACCCTCTGGTTATTTACATAGCCATGATATAGATGTCCCATTCATAGATGGTTTACCTATTATATACAAATGGTGATTTTCCACGGCTATGTTAAATAACCAGATGGTATTTCAATTTCATGCCAGATTTCCTGTTTTCTTTGGACTCCCGGCTGTGAATTTCTTCCGTGTTTTAATGGGTGGCGCCAGGAGGAGCTTCAAGTGGTACCTGTATGTCCCATGACCCTGGAGGCAACGAAGGGTCCAGATGGGTTACCCCCAAACAAAAACCAGCGAAGTAACCCGTTATATCCCGTTATTGAAATAGCAGGGGATTGCTTTTCTAGATAAAGGCTATGTATATATACACACGCGTATATATATATATATGCATCGGATTTGAAGATTTTTGGGGTTTGTTTGAGAATAGTTGCCCCATGCCCTATTCCATCCATCGATTAATTTATCAGCATTTTTTTTTAAGCTTGTTAGGGGCAAATATACCCGATTCTCAGACAGAACCCAAACCATATGAGGTTAGTTATTCCCATTATTACGATAGTTTAAAGTTTAGATTCGCATTCTACCATGTCATACCATCATTTCCATGATGCTTTCCCGTTTGAGGCTTTCCAGCTCCTTCCCCAGAGGAGTGGTTAGACTCTGTCAGGCGGCCGGCGCGCTCAAGAACGAGCTGTCTGAGGTCAATCCTAAGGCCTGTTAGCACGAAGAATGCGACGAAGGATGGGATTTCATAGGATGAAATACTGTGGATGGTTGCGAAATCCGAATCACCAGTTGAAAACGGTGGTAAACATCCCATGATTCATCGGGTGTCAACCATCCTTTGGTGCAGGATTTCGCAACCATCCACAGTAGGATAGGCTAGGATACATAGGTGAGTGACGATCAATACCCCCGGTAGATAGGCTATGTTTTCATCAACCCCCAGGTAGATTTGGCACAGCAATCTGCCCCTTCTGGCAGGTGATTATGGAGATTTCCTTCGATGGGCAATCCGTAGGGCGGATCGAGTTCGAACTCTTCTGTGGCTGGGCTGAAAGGTGGCTTAGAGAACCCATGGCTTACCCTGAGATACTGGGGTTTCATGGGATATAATGGATATCATCATATATACATATATACATATGTACATATATACATATATACATATATACATATGTACATATATACATATATACATATATATACATATACACATATATACATATATATACATATATACATATATACATATATACATATATACATATACATATATACATATATACATATATACATATAGACATATAGACATAAAGACATATATATACATATATACATTTATACATATATATACATATATACATTTATACATATATACATATATATATATATACATATACACATATATACATATATACACATATACACATATATATATACATACACATATATACATATATATATATATACATAGACATATAGACATATATATGTTTATATCAATATACAGATGCACATATACACATCTATACATCTATACATGCACATATATATATATATATATAAATATAAATATATAGATATAAATAAATATATATATATATATATAAATATGTACAGATAGATTAGATAGATAGATAGATAGATAGAAAAATAGAAAAATAGAAAGATTAGATTAGATTAGATTAGATTAAAATAGATAGATTAGATAGATGGGATAGATTGGATAGATGGGATAGACTAGATAGATTGGATAGATCGGATAGATTAGATTCATTAGATAGATTAGATAGATTAGATAGATTAGATAGATTACATAGACTAGATGGATTACATCGATTAGATGGATTAGATCGATTGGATAGATGGGGTAGATTAGATATATTGGATAGGTTGGATAGATTGGATAGGTTGGATAGATTGGATCGATGGGATAGATTAGATGGATTGGATAGATTGCATAGATTGGATAGATGAGATAGATCAGATAGATTAGATGGTTTATATAGATTACATTGATTAGATGGATTAAATGGATTAGATGGATTGGATCGATTGGATGGATTAGATAATTAGATGAATTAGATAGATTAGATAGATTAGATAGATAGATAGATAGATAGATAGACGGATGGATGGATGGATGGATGGATGGGTGGATGGATGGATGGATGGATGGGTGGATGGATGGATGGATGGATAGATCGATAGATAGATAGATAGATCGATAGATAGATAGATAGATAGATCGATAGATCGATAGATAGATCGATAGATGGATGGATAGATAAATAGCCAACAACATGATAATTGGGTGTCATTGAAATCGCCCTTCACCCTCTCCAAAATGGTAGGTTTTAAATTGGGAACATGATGAACCAGTGCATTTTGGCCAAGATTGAATCGAGCCCCAAATAATCATCCGAAATGAATAGTGAAGGGAATAAATGTGAGTTACTATTTTTCATAACTGAACATACATGAACGATAGATAGATTTACCATCTAGTAAATCTCCAGATGTTTTTTTCCCCTCCAGTTTAGGAACGCTTGTGATTTACCCTCTGGTAAACTAAAACAACTATGGGAAATCACCATGCTATCAACGGATGATGCTTAAGGGGTTTTCCTAAGGCAGTGTAAAAACTACCAGAGAGAAAGGCAAAACATGCACAAGCGTTGCATTTTCCATTGCATCTGGGTTTGTCAGAAAATACGGCATCTGCAAATCCATTGGTTGATGATCATTTTCTCCATTGAATAGCCAGACCCATCGTAACATCTACGCGTGTTGAATTTGGAAGCTGAGATGCCGATCACGAGCATTTAAGTGTTGGTAAATTTAAGAGGTATATCCAATTAGTAGGGTATAAAACATGGCACTAGAGAAAATCGTCATTTGAATTGACAATTCAAGTCAACGCGATTGATGTATGGGATCTTTGTTTTTTGATTCCTATAAATATCCACATGTGTCCAAAAAAATATCTTTTACCAGGGATAGTGTTGGCTTTGCCACAGGTATAATTATTGGCAATGTTCTTCAATAATAGTCCCCATATCAGAATCAGGATGCAAACTTCGGTTTTAGACTCGGAGGACAGACCACGATACAGAAATATACAGAACAGGTAACATGGATTTTTGGAAAAACGAAACACCAAATTGGAGGATACGATTTGGGGGTCAAAATTATTGCACCGCAACCTTTGCCCCGAAGAAGTCTTTTTCTCATCTTGTCAACACACAAAATTGGTACCCTGAATGACTTGAATCAGAGCCATTGATGGTAGGCCGCCAGTGCCTGTATCGCGACCACAGCTCCCTTCCAAGCCTCTTGGCCAGGCACATGGATCTGGCATAATCTGGTGATTTGGTGTACTATGGAAAGTGACTTCCATATCATAAAGCGATATATAGAAAGTTGACGTATTTTCAAGCCGCGTGCTGCCCAGGGGCTTGAATTTACTAAGTCTAAATACATGGAATATATCCAGGCATGTTTCATACATTCCGTAGCTGATTGCAAACATGTTGTACCTTCGGTCAAAGTACAACTGGGGAGACGGTCCCCGTGTACATTCGGTCAAAAAGGTGGAGAACTTGAACACAGGTGGTGTTACACCACTTGCGTAGCACATTTCTTGTCTTATGTAGAATGCATGCAAGCAACAAAAACAAAACCACAACATTATAATGATACGCACACACACATATATATATATATACACAAGATGGAAGATCATTTTTTTTCGCGTACTTCTGATTTGGAGTGTCCACCTTAATTATCATGGTTCTGGATTCCTGGGTGAAAATCTACTGTAAACGGTGGTTTCAACTATCCAAGCCTCCAGTTCGGGTGGTCTTTCGAGTGTCCCGTGCACTTGGTCCATTTTTCCTGAGGTTGAACCATGGCTGAAATAGGCCAATACCCTGAGCTAATGGTGGCCAAGCATGGCCCGCTGCTGACCTAAGACGGGACGAGCAAAGCCTCTCCAGTATAGTCGGGAAACATGGGAAAAGCTCGGATAAAGTTGGGAAAAATGCGAAAGCAGTCGCTAAAGTTGATATTTTGGCATTCGACCTTTTTCGACAACAGCAACCAGCTGTGTGTCTAGACATTGATGTGGTTCTCTTGAATTGGACGATGTTCAAAAAGAATCTCGGCATTGACATCCAGTTCTGTGACTCAACGTAGATCGAATGAGGAGAACGAAGTTTTTGGGGTTACCCGGTGAGCCAGCATAACCTTGGAGAGCTCTGGAAAGCTTGACACATGGTGACAATTTATAAGAAAATGGCGACGGACCTGATAGACTCTTTTTTTTTTTTGGGCACAAAACGACTGAGATTTGCTGAACTTAGCGACTTAGAGGTTGAATGACTTGAAGTTTGAAGGCTCAAGTGCATCGATAGCGATGTGGACCGGCCACGGGAGTCGTGCTCGCCAACCATGCTGGCGTAAACTGCATGCGGCCTTCCATGCGGGCGGTAAATGCATGCGGCCTACCGTGCTGGCGGTAAATGCACGAGGTGCCGATTGGCACATAGCGGGTTTAGCCCGTGCCCGAAAGGGCATCCCTAGTGTGAGACAGTGCCAATCGGCACCTCGTGCATTTACCGCCAGCTTGGTAGGCCGCATGCACCGACCACCCGCATGGAAGGCTGCATGGAGTGTACTTCAGCATGGTTGGCACATGCTGGCACTGTTGCTGGTCCGCAGGACTATCGAGCAGAAAGGCAACCTGGATGTGGACGTTCTCGTTAATCCTGCTGTTCCGTGTGTTCTTCTTCTCTCGCGTTTTCGTTTGCGCCTTTTTCTTCGTGTTGTTGTTCTTGTTGTCCTGGTTGTTGTTGGTGTTGGTGTTACTGTTGGTGTTGCTGTTGGTGTTGCTGTTGGTGTTGTTGTTGTTGTTGTTGTTGTTGTTGTTGTGGTTGTTGTTGTTGTTGTGGTTGTTGTTGTGGTTGTTGTTGTTGTTGTTGTTGTTGTTGGTCTTGGTCTTGGTGTTGGTGTTGTTGTTGTTGTGGTGGTTGTTGTGGTTGTTGTGGTTGTTGTTGTTGTTGTTGTTGTTGTTGTTGTTGTTGTTGTCGTTGTAGTTGTAGTTGTCGATGTCGTTGTCGTTGTTGGTGTTGTTGTTGTTGTTGTTGGTGGTGGTGGTCTTGGTGTTGGTGTTGGTATTGTTGTTGTTGTTGTTGTTGTTGTTGTTGTTGTTGTTGTTGTTGTTGTTGTTGTTGTTGTTGTTGTTGTTGTTCATGCTGTTGCTGTTGCTGTTGCTGTTGTCCTTATTCCTGCTATGGACCTTGCTGCTGCAAGCTGGAACAAAAGCAACAGTGATAGTGTGGACGATGGTGTAGGTCTCGGTCGCGGAGTGGTAGCGTGCAGTGTCGCTCTGCCGACCCAACGTTTGCCGAAGCGATTTTGCGGGGGTGGCCCGCCACCAGAAGCGAAAGAGCTCGTAGCTGCAATCTGCTTGTCGGTTCTGCAAGACGAAAAGCGCGTCACTGCAGTGCTGATCCAATCTTGGGTGGACACCTGGCACGGCTGGGAAGAGTTAAAGGCGGATGGGTCGGACACTGTTGCCAGGAACGTCGCAGAGCGTTTGCTGCAGATCGCTGGCGTCAATATGCCCCGAAACATGATGACCAATGCATGTCGGTTGCAGGAATTGACTGCTCGCGGCTTGCACCTCAAAGTTGCATCGTCGCATGGTGTCAATAACTGCCTCATCGATTCACTTTTGCTGTGCCTCGTTAACAAAGGCTTGACTCCACAAGAATACACCATGGCCGAACGCAAAGCGCTATGTGCCACATGTCGAGAAGATTTGTGTGTGCGACACGGGGTCCCCCGTGGTGTGTACCTGGATGGGCACCGGGATACACCACGTATCCTCGATTTCTTCGTGCGACGACTGTGGAAGCTTGATGTTTCTCTTCGGGTGTTTTTTTATGATTGCATGGATCACGGAGAGTTGGGCATGGCAAGTACAGAGTTGTCGCACGTGGATTTCACCTGGGGTGACCGCGTCGTGTATGAACGCCAGACGCTGCATGTGTACAATCACACAGATCCGACAGGACAAGGCTATCATTTTGACGCGTTGGTTGGTGCCGTGGCGCAGAGTGGGAACCAACGAAAATCATGTGCGAGAGGAAGCCAAGCGCACACAACCGAAGATGAAGGATCGAGGCACGAAGACCGAGGCCACAGACCGCCTAGCATGGAGTTGCAACGAGTTCATCAGGCCTTGGACGGATTTTTCCGGTCACGCGGCACTGGCATCAACGTGAACACGCAAGACGCTCGCGACATCATGGAAGCTTGGGATGATGCGGAGAGATGCTCGGTGAAACTGCATATGCTATTGCAGGCGAACACAACGTACATGGATGCGGGCATGCATGCTGCGCGACGCTTGCTTGGGGAATGGCGCGCGCACTACGCAACATACACCCAAGGTCCCGGGCAAAGATTAGGCGAGTCGATGAGCGGAAAGGGCGGGAAGAAAGAAGTGGAACCGGCCGCAGAGGCGGAGGCTATGGAGGTGGAGGAAGCTGTGGCAAGCAATCGGCAGAAACTATCGGAAACGGAGGTTACCGACAAGGATGCAAGCAGCACCGGGAAGAAAGCAGCGGCCAAGAGGCCGCTGGCTGAAGGCCTGGGTTTGCCTCGGAAAAGGTTACGCGGAAAACAGCCGGTGCCCGAACAAGGTCTAGCAAGGAACGATGTCAAAGGAGATGATGCATTGGATCACGGCCTTGCACTCGATGAGTATATTTTGCGGACATGGCACGCTACACACGGAAACCCTGACCCACGAGCCCAGGGTGACATGGTGTTAGAGGCGTTGGGAAAACAGTTTCGGAAGAAACCCACGTTGCCCCATTGGATGGCTATAGCAACACGAAATGCGGCTTTCGATTTGCCGGATTACATTTGTTCTTTCGAAGGGTGTAATTTTGAGTCGGAGCTAGCGGAAGCGTTTGAAGAACATGTTTGTCAAGAGCATCGCCGGGCACTGGAACCTTTGGCATCCAAACCAGCAACCAAGGCAAAGATGTTGGAAGCATACCGGGCAGGTTTAACCTGGGCATGCCAGCAAGATGCACCCACATCTCACATTGCCATTGATAGGCGTTGTCTGCGGCAGTATCGCGACTCGCAAAGCGGTGACAAGATCGGGGCCGGCATCTGTTTACTTTGCGCGCGCCGGTTTCCGTATGCCGACGCCATGGGCGAGGGCGATCGCATACAATGGAAACAATTGGCGGGGAAGTCGCATTTTCTTGGCCTGTCTTTGGAAGAAACAAAACGATGGCTGAGTTTAGACACGTATTGGAGCACCTATGCCATGCAATACGGGAGAACAGTCCGAGAACGCTTGCGCGCCGAGTTGCAAGATTGGTGCGCTGATGTCGAACTTGATGGGCAAAATTTGTCGATAATATGTTGTCCTGAAGACAAAGTCTGCGCAAAGCGCTGCCCCCCTGGTCGGATCTGCTCGGCGTGCTGGGCGCCAGTATGCATGCATTGCCGGGACAGCTTGCGCGCAAAAGAGGCGTCCAGGCTGGCGTTGGCGAACGACATGTTAGTTTTTTATACGCCCCGCATGATTTACAAGGAAGAAGTTACTTTCATGGAATTAGTGTGCGCCAGCCCGTGTTTTACTGCCATGGCTTGCTTCAGTTTGGAGAAGAAGTTGCTAGGAGACCGGGCATTGGATCAAGATGCGTTCATGAATCGGAACCGTTTGGTTGCCCGAGGGAATGCCACAACCTTCCCATTAGCGTGGGAAGAGTTATTGCAAAACTTGCAAGCAGCATCTACAGAAGCAGCTGCGGGAGAAATACGCCTACCAAAAGTTGGGGTCGAATTGGCTGCGGTAATCATTGTAATCATCAAAGCAGGAGGACCACTGTCCGAACGCGATGACGCCGCAAAGATCATTCACCAAGCTCGCGTGCGGCGGGCCGTCGTGCTGCAGCTGATTGCCGATGCGAAGGCCCGGGAACACCCTGCCTACAACTTTCTGAACATGAACGAAGTAGTGCAGCGTGCCGAACAGCTGCCAGAAGATGGTGTCCCAGCAGAGATCGTCGCTTGGTTGCCTCATGACACAGACTTGGATAACGTGCAGCGCCAAAAAGCAGCAACGCCAACCCGGGCCATGTTGTCGGAAGCAGACGTGCAAGCCGAGTTTGCGTACATGTGCAAGCCGAACGCTGTAGTGAGCGAGCGTACAAGCGGCGGCTTCGCTGATCCTAATGCAACGCACGTGGCAGCCTTGCAGGCCGTGGTGCAGACACGCGAGGCGTGCAGAGCTGAAACCACCACGGCGGTGGTTTACACCGGCAATCGTTTGTTGGATCAATTTGAACCGTGGTATTTCGCGTTTGCCTTTGCTTTTCTCTTCCCGTATGGAAGTGGAATGCCGGATCCGCCAAGCTGGAGTCCCAAACTTCGGCACCGCCGTCCACCGGATGCTTTGCGTGTCGAGTTCGCAACTTGGATGCGTTGCATGGCCCGGCGCTGTGAATCTCAAATCAATCGGGATTGGACGTTCGGACTCACGAGTTGGAATTTGTATTTCCGGTCGGCAATCAATTTGTCTCGGAATCTGTCCCCATACGACGCGCCAATCTTTTATGAAGCCGAACAAAAATTTCGTGCCCTGCGTGCCGAAGAAGTTGAAGCCGGCGCCTTGCAATTACTGAATGCCTTGAGTGGAACGTATGCGGATGTCCGTGGAAACCTTCGACCCGTGAATGGCGACGTCTCCAAGTTGGCATACGTTCGAAATCTGCGCCCCGCCGCGCGCAAGCTGTTGAAAAATATGAAGCATACGGCCCGCAGCTTGCCAGGAACGCAAGAAGCAAGACGCCAAATGCGTTTTGAAATTGAAGCGATGCGGGTCCGCTACGGCGTGCCGTTGTTCATCACGGTGTCGCCCGATGAGGCGCACCAGTGGCTCTTCATTCGCATGTCGCGAACGCGCGCATCCGATCCAGTGCGCAGCGCATCGGTGTGGCAGGAGCGGTGCTCAGGAGATCGGCAGTTCCCATCGCTAGATGGCGACCTTTGTTTCCCAATCCATCTCGAAAAATTTTGTCGCGCGCTTCCATCCTGGGAGCAGCGCCGTGCGTTGTTGGCCCGTGATCCCTTGGCCTCTGTTGATGGTTTTCACGTTTTACTGCGGTTGCTTTGTCGGCACATCTTTGGCGTGCGAATGTGCGAGCACTGCCCTGACTGTGACATGACTGCAACCCCATGCAGCGACACGTCTGGCAGCAACGCGAGCCTGTTCGGCGGAGTGTTTGGACGTGTCGATGCCATATACGTCACGATTGAAGCCCAGAAGTCCACTGGATCATTACATGGGCACATGCAATGTTTTGTTCAGTGCTTGCACCAACACACGCCGCTAACAGAAATTTTCCAGCTTCCGCATTTGCGATTAGAAGCGTTGCGGCAAGAATACTGCAAGTATCAAGCGCACGTTGCGCATGCTGTCTACAGCGGCCAAGGCCAGGACAGCATTCGTGAAGGCATAGAAGGAGCAGAAAGTACGTGGCCCGAGCACGCGCGGGACGCGCATATGACGACAATCCCAGGATATCAGCAGCGACGGGCGCAAGGGGCCAGAGATCTGACCGAAGCCGA